TGAGGAGATGAGGTTCTGAGGTCACCCTACTGATAACTGACGTAGAATCAGGTTTTAACTGAGTTGCCTGTTAAGTTGAATTTGAGGAGGAAGAAATAAAATGAAAGGAAGGAAGAAATAAGAGGAAGGAAGGAAGGAAGGAAGGAAAGAGGGAGGCAGGGAGGGAAGGGGGGAGGAAGGGAGGAAGGAAGGAAGGGAAGGAAAGGGAAAGGAAAAGAAGGAAGGGAAAAATAAAAGGAACTGAGTCGTCTGCATTGAAAGCTGTTAGCATGTCACCCTGTTCCCCGCTCCCTGTGTGGGCTTCAGAGAGGAGCTCCCTCACCACTAATGTCCCCCAACCTAGAAAGCAGCACACCATGCCTTTTACCCAGACACCCTGCACCCCCAGGGGAGGGTCTGTTCATTCCTCATCTCTCCCCAGCTGTCACGACCACCACCCGGAGGCCCAGCAGCATGACCACCACAGCCGGCCTCAGGGTCACACAGGGCAAACGACACTCAGACTCTTGGCACCTAAGTCTGAAAACTGCCGTGGGGGTGACAGTGGCTGTCGCTGTGCTCGGAATCATGATTTTGGGACTGATCTGCCTTCTCAGGTGGAGGAGAAGGAAAGGTAAGTGCCCAGGACCCATCCTCTCCCCAAGCCTCCCATCTGGGGGTTTCTCAGAGCCTACCTGCAGCTATGGGGCTTCTGAAATATGCAGACCCTGCCTGCTCCCCTCAAGCCCGCCTCCCTCAAGCCCACCGAGGCCGACTTCATGGCCTGTGCTGGGTTGTCTGCATTTGTGAGGCTCCTGCAGTGGGGCGGGGCAGGGTCACATATGAGAGCCCACAGCCCTTTTCACACAGCCGATCCCCACCCAGTTCTCTCTCAGTCATCACGCATCTACCTCCCCTGAAGGTTCCTGGGGAGGGGAGGGTCTCCCCTGGCAAAAGGACAGAGAGAGCAGAAGGGAACGGAAGTAGGCTGAGCTCAGCAGACACTGGCCGATTGCCCACCTGCCACGGCCTGGCTTGAAACTGGAGAAGCAAAGTAGATAAAGCATAAACCATAGACTGCTCTCAGTGAACTAGGGGTGTGGGGTTGTCAGTTGCCTTAAGGACTAATTGCTTCATTGAGAAAGAACTACGGCAGCACTTAATAAGGGTGGGAGGAAGGAGAGGTAATCAGAGAGACAGGACTTCCCAGAGGCGGCGATATATGCAAAAGTCTCAAAGAAGAAAAAGAATTAGCCTGGCAAGTGGTGAGGGTGGTGTAGAGGTCATTCACTTTCCGTGCGGGTGGAGGAAACCATTCCAGGAGCTGTAGGAAGCTCAGTGCTGGTGGAGGAGGCAGGAGAGGAGGGGATCTTGGAAATCACACCCAAGAGCCTCCAATCCCAGAGGCAGTGTGAAGCAGTAAAGGGTGACCTCAGCTCCCGTGAGAGACCTCAGTCTGTGAAGGAGTGGCCAGAGGTGGGCCAGGCTGGGTCAGTGCAGTGCAGGGGTGAGGTGGAGAGAGGGAAAGGGCCAGATCCTGGAAAAGATTAAGTAATAAAACCAAAGAGGTGAGGTGCAGTGCGGTGGCTCAGGCCTGTAATCCCAGCATTTTGGGAGGCTGAGGCAAGAGGATTTCTTGAGCCCAGGAGTTTGATACCAACCTGGGCAACACAGGGAGACCCTGTCTCTACAAAAAAAAAAAAAAAAAGAAAATTAGCTGGGCATGGTAGCCTGTGCTTGTAGTACCAGCTACTGGGAGACTGAGATGTAAAGACTGCTTGAGCCCAGGAGTTTAAGGTTACAATGAGCTATGATTTCACCACTGCACTCCAGCCTGGGAGACAGAGCAAACTATCTCCAAATAAATATAAAAATAATAAAAAAAAATTTTTTTATAAAGACATTTGGTTGGCTGGTCAGGGTGGCTCATGCCTGTAATATCAACACTTAGGGAGGCCGAGGCAGGATAATCTCTTGAGCCAAGGAGTTTAAGATCAGCCTGGGCAACTTGGCAAAACCCCGTATCTACAGAAAATACAAAAATTAGCTGGCTGTGGTGGTGTGCGCCTGTGGTCCCAGCTACTCCAGAGGCTGAAGTGAGAAGACTGCTTGAGCCTGGGAGGTCGAGGCTGCAGTGAGCTGTGATTGTGCCACTGTACTCCAGCCTGGGTGACAGAGCAAAACCTTATCTCAATAAATAAATAAGTAAGTTGATTGTTAGATTGGTGTAGGGGCAAGGGAGCAGGAATAAGCCCCTGTTTCCATTTGAGTGGATGAGGCTGTAATGAAATCACCAAGTACAATGATGAAGAGAGGAGGAGATCACGCTTGGAGGGGAACAATGCCTCGTTTAATTTGGGATCCGTTACACTGGGGATCCACGTGTGGCATCTCAGCAGAGTTGTCCATTGGAAACTCAGAGTACACATTTACAGTTCAAAAGAGAGGACAAGGCCTGAGGCATTAATGAGTTCCACCCCAACATTCTCCAAACCTGATTTGAAGTTACCATCAAGAACGTTTGCAATAGGCTGGGCGTGATGGCTCCCGCTCATGCCTGTAAGCCCAGCACTTTGGGAGGCCAAGCTGGGTGGATCACTTGAGCCCAGGAGCATGAGACCAACCTGGCCAATGTGGTGAAACCCTGTCTCTACTAAAAATACAAAACTTAGCCAGGTGTGGTGGTACGCACCTGTAGTTCCAACTACTGGAGAGGCTGAGGTGGGAGAATTGCTTGAGCTCAGGAGGCAGAAGTTGCAATGAACTGAGATCATACCACTGCACTCCAGTCTGGGTAATAGAGTGCAAGGAGATTTGCTCTATCAGCTATGAAAGCACAGAGGGGAGGAGCACGGGGTCGGGGCTGCCTGCAGTCAGATTCTGGCCTCACACCCTCGCCAGGGAAACAGGCTTGCTGGTACAAAGGTTGTGCACCTCAATTTCCTCATGGCAAAGGGAGTGAAGATGGTACCTACGTGGGGTTGTCCTGATGATTAAATGTACTGTGTTTAGAATAGATGTAGCAGAGGGTGTGCCACAGGAGCATAAGCACTTAGAATGACTAAACAGTAGGCATTAAACCAGGGAACACTGGCTCTCATGGGAGCACCATCGTATGAATACATTTAAAACAAAAGACAAAATGGTACGATATTGGCATATTCATACATGGATAAAGTAATGGAAGAAAAGAGGAAAATGTAAGTATAACAGAATGAAAAGAGACCCAAATATATGTGGGAATTTAGTTGGTTAAAAGGTTTCTAATCAATGGAGAAAGATGAGTAATTCAATGAATGGTGCTGGAACTATTCAGTAGCCATCTGAGAAAAAACATTATCTCCTTAACTCATAATTTGTACCAAAATAAATTCCACAGGGATCAAAGATTTAAATGAGAGAAAAAAAAAAAAAACCCTAGTACCAGAAGAAAATGTGAGATTATTTCATAATCAAGGAGTAGAGACAGTCTTCCTCAGTATGACCAAGCCCCAAAGCCATGGATTAAAATATTAAAATCTGGCCAGGCACGGTGGCTCATGCCTGTAATCCCACCACTTTGGGAGGCTGAGGCAGGCGAATCACTTGAGGTCACGAGTTCAAGACCAGCTTGGTCAACAGGGTGAAACCCTTTCTCTACTAAAAATACAAAAATTAGCTGGACATGGTGGTGCACCCCTGTAATCCCAGCTACTCGGGAGGCTGAGGCATGAGAATCGCTTGAATCCAGGAAGTCGAGGCTGCAGTGAGCTGAGATCACACACAGATGCACTCCAGCCTGGGCGACAGAGCGAGACTCTTGTCTCAAAAAAAAAAAAAAAAAAATTAAAATCAACCACTTAATTTTTTTTTTAAATTCTTCAGAACAAAAACCACAGCACTTTTCTCCTGAGAATGAGTAAGAGGGTCAGGGAATTGAAGAGAAAGTTTGACATAATCACTGAGGAAACAGGAAGTGGAGTTTGAGGATTCAGCTCAGATGAGAAACTGTAAATCTATGATAGCAGCGTTGTGCATGGCGCATTTTCCCCCAGCAGTAGTCAACCATTCAGATTTTGAGACCTTAGTGATTTTTGTTGGTCAGGAATTGTCAGTTGCTACCACCAGGGACCAGAAGTAACAGTGGCTTAAACAAGACAGAGCTGGGTTATTTTTTCGTCTTGTAAACAGATCTGGAAGCAGACAGCACATCACTGTTCTTAGACACTCAGGTTCCTACCTTTCTGATTTACCAGCCCTGATGCCGGCTTCTGTCCCGAAGGTTGCCTCATAGCCCAAGATGGCTGCAAGGATTCCAGCCACTATTTCTGGGTTTCTGGCAAAAAATAGGAGAAAGGAAGAAAGGGGGAAAAAAAAACCCACTATGCCTCAACTATCTGTTCCCTTTTAAAGAGTCTTCCTGAAAGACCTAACAACTTCATGTGTGAGAGCCCCCAGCCCTCTCCACACAGCCGACTCCCCCCACCCCAGTTTATATCTTATTGGCTAGAATTTGGTCATATATCCCACAGCTATCTGTAGGGGGAATCCTCCCACTCCAAATAAAATCAATTTTCTGTAACTAGGAATAATTGAATAGATATTGGGTAATCAAATAGCATTTCCGCCATAAGACACCCCCAGGATTAGAGATTTGCCAGCTAAGTGTGGCAGAGAGACAGGAGATCACAGGTCAAGGAGCTAGTGAGAAGGCAGGAATGGAGAGCAGAGGGGTCAGCAGGGAGTCTGAATAATCTGTAGAAAAGTAGATTATCAAGGGATAAGAGTTCAATGAAGTCTAAGAACAGGTACAGTGGGATAATGACAAAAGGCAGCTGGAACGTTTCCAGGCTTATTCTGTGAGATCACCATTACCATGATACCAAAACCAGACAAAGATACTACAAGAAGAAAAAAAAACAACTACAGACTGATAACCCTGATGAATATTGATGTAAAAATCTTCAACAAAATAATAACAAACTATATTCAACAGCATGGCAAAAGAATTATACACCATGAGCCGGGCACAAGAATCACTTGAACC